CCGGGGACCTCAGGGACTAGAGACCCGTGCCCCCGGAGACCTCAGGGACTAGAGACCCGTGCGGCTGGGACCTTATAGGGACTAGAGACCCGTGACCCTGGGGACCTTAGAGACTAAAGACCCGTGCCTCTGGGGACCTAAGGAACTAGAAACCCGTGCCCCTGGGGACCTCAGGGTCTAGAGACCCCGTAGTTCCCCACGTGTTGGCAGAGACAGAGTTAATCATCAAAATATTATGGAAATGTGAAAAACCTGTGAATCGTTAGATGGAGGCGAGTTTCTCAAGATGGTTTGGCCATGTAGACGAAATGGATGATAACAGAGAGGGAGGAAAGAGTGCACTCGAGTGAATATGAGGAGCGGCGAGGACGACCAAGATAAGACATGGTGAGTGTGTGTGTGAGGAAGGTCATGAGGGAGACAAAGTGAGTGAGGAAGGTCATGAGGGAGACAAAGTGTGTGAGGAAGGTCATGAGGGAGACAAAGTGAGTGTGTGAGGAAGCGGAAGCTTAGTGCAAAGAGAAAACACATAAAGTGAGAGAGAAAAACAGACTCAACTCAGGCCAGTGTGTATAAGAGAAGGCAGCCAACATGTCTGGCATTTGAGGGGGGGGGGGGGGGGAAGAGTTTTGATGACAACTCATTACAAGGACTTTACTCCTGGTTGTATGGGGCGGTGAGTGTTGCTGTGGGATCTATTGCACGCGCGTGTGTGTGACGGCTCTATCCGGCGTCACAGTATGAAATGCGACAGACAGGTATGACGGTATATGTCTAACTTTGAACTTACGTGCCTATCATTCATACCTATTCCATCGGGGCTGATAAGATGCACCTGATAGGTTGGCCAACCCCCCCTTCCCCACAACCCCTACCCCCTCCCCCAACCCCCCCTCCCCAACCCTCCCTCCCCACAACCCACAACCCCCAACCCCGTTTACCCATCCTATATATGCCATCAGTCCTCGAGCCCTCGCGAAACTATCCCCCAGACATACATAAGGACGCTGCCTGTGTTCTGGTCCTATTCATTTAATTTCATTTATGTATTCAGATGGCAGAGTGCCGGAGCTGTAGTATGCGCCCACGCCGCCATCTTTGTCCCGCTACTGAACAAAAGCCTCCTTCACAACACAAATGTTTTATTCATATCAACTTGGCCTGAGTGAGAGAGAGAGGTGACTGATACAGGCGTCCGTACGTCGGTGTAATCTGTTCTCTACGTCGGTGTAATCCGTTGTGGTCCCTACGTCGGTGTAATCCGTTGTGTTCTCTACGTCGGTGTAATCCGTTGTGTTCTCTACGTCGGTGTAATCCGTTGTGGTCCCTACGTCGGTGTAATCCATTGTGTTCTCTACGTCGGTGTAATCCGTTGTGGTCCCTACGTCGGTGTAATCCGTTGTGGTCCCTGCGTCGGTGTAATCCGTTGTGGTCCCTACGTCGGTGTAATCCGTTGTGTTCTCTACGTCGGTGTAATCCGTTGTTCTCTACGTCGGTGTAATCCGTTGTTCTCTACGTCTGTGTAATCCATTGTGTTCTCTACGTCGGTGTAATCCGTTGTGTTCTCTACGTCAGTGTAATCCGTTGTTCTCTACGTCGGTGTGATCCGTTGTGTTCTCTACGTCGGTGTAATCCGTTGTGTTCTCTACGTCAGTGTAATCCGTTGTTCTCTACGTCTGTGTAATCCGTTGTTCTCTACGTCGGTGTGATCCGTTGTGTTTTCTACGTCAGTGTAATCCGTTGTTCTCTACGTCTGTGTAATCCGTTGTTCTCTACGTCGGTGTGATCCGTTGTGTTTTCTACGTCAGTGTAATCCGTTGTTCTCTACGTCTGTGTAATCCGTTGTTCTCTACGTCGGTGTGATCCGTTGTGTTCTCTACGTCGGTGTAATCCGTTGTGTTCTCTACATCGGTGTAATCCATTGTGTTCTCTACGTCGGTGTATTCCGTTGTGTTTTCTACGTCTGTGTAATCCGTTGTGTTCTCTACGTCGGTGTAATCCGTTGTGTTCTCTACGTCTGTGTAATCCGTTGTTCTCTACGTCGGTGTAATCCCTCGTGTTCTCTACGTCCGTGTAATCCCTCGTGTTCCCTACGACACGACAACCCGACGCGTCACCTAAGCATCACAATTTTTACGGATCCAATTCGCTAAAAAATGCGACATTAAATTAAGCGAAATTAAAGCCCCGTCATATTATTCACGTTTTCAGAGCATCGGCTTAGACAGGCCAGGAAGGTTGCCTGGGTTTGTACGCACTTGGTTAGGCCAAACAGTCGCATTTGCTTACGTGGCGGATCGAGAGACCCAGCATCCCTCGGTGTTGCTGGTTCAAGATCAGATAACAATTCCCTGGAAACACAAACAGTAACTGTCTCTATTTTCCGCTTGTTACAACTTGTAATAAAGTTGTTACATCTTGGCTTAACGTGTTTATGACGTATTAGAACGTTGTTACAACTTGCTATATTGGTTGTTATAACTGGTTAGGGGGGTGTTAAAACTTGTTCGAACGTTGTACCAACGTCGTAGTTTCGGTGTGTGTTTGGCGGGTTAAAATCTCTCATAGTTCACCCTTCACTACCGTTCACTTCAACTTATAGAACATCTTCATTGCTTGTTGAGTTATATATATTTTAGGCGAGTGAGCAGAATGATCCACTGTGAGGAAGCAGAAAGATCCACTGTGAGGAAGGAGAATGATCCACTGTGAGGAAGCAGAATGATCCACTATGAGGAAGCAAAATGATCCACTGTGAGGAAGCAAAATGATCCACTGTGAGGAAGCAGAATGATCTACAGTGAGGAAGCAAAATGATCCACTGTGAGGAAGCAAAATGATCCACTATGAGGAAGCAGAATGATCCACTGTGAGGAAGCAGAATGATCTACTGTGAGGAAGCAGAATGATCCACTGTGAGGAAGCAGAATGATCCACTGTGAGGAAGCAGAAAGATTCACTATGAGGAAGCAGAATGATCTACTGTGAGGAAGCAGAATGATCTACTGTGAGGAAGCAGAATGATCCACTGTGAGGAAGCAGAATGATCCACTGTGAGGAAGCAGAATGATCCACTGTGAGGAAGCAGAAAAATCCACTGTGAGGAAGCAGAAAGATCCACTGTGAGGAAGGAGAAAGATCCACTGTGAGGAAGCAGAATGATCCACTGTGAGGAAGGAGAAAGATCCACTGTGAGGAAGCAGAATGATCCACTGTGAGGAAGCAGAATGATCCACTGTGAGGAAGCAGAATGATCCACTGTGAGGAAGCAGAATGATCCACTGTGAGGAAGCAGAAAGATCCACTGTGAGGAAGCAGAAAGATCCACTGTGAGGAAGCAGAAAGATCCACTGTGAGGAAGCAGAAAGATCCACTGTGAGGAAGCAGAATGATCCACTGTGAGGAAGGAGAAAGATCCACAGAGAGGAAGCAGACAATTGCGAGTGAAAGCATTAACACCTGTGATGTCTACCAGACAACCACAACCCCTTCAGAACACAGCTTGTGATAATTGACTCACAGAGGGAGTGGAGGTGCTTACATCTCCCCCCCTACCCCCCCACCCCACCCCCTCCCTCACCTCACACCCTTCCACAACACACACGCACACTCTCCTATTCAATCTAACCTCCCCCCCCCTCCTCAATATACACAAACCCGCATTACATGCAGTCCCTCTCTCCACTACTCCACCCCCACCCTCTCCCCAACACCAGGGGCCAGATTCACGAAAGCACTTACGAACCTGTACATCTTTTCTCACTCTTTGGCGGCTTTGTTTACAATTATTAAACAGTTAATGAGCTCCGAAGCACCAGGAGGCTGTTTATAAGAATGACAACAGTTGATTGGGAAGTTTTCATGCTTGTAAACTGTTTAATAAATGTAACCAAAGCCGTCAAAGATTGAGGAAAGATGTACACGTTTGTAAGTGTTTGCGTAAGTGCTTTCGTGAATCTGGACCCAGGGTACTGAGCCACCTTCGCCCCAACACTGACAGGTCAAATGAACAAATCCACAATGGCCGTGACGAGGATTCGAACCTGCGTCTCGGACGTGTACTGACAGGTCAGCTGTACCAAAGTACCAAAACACAGCCTGAGGAAGAGGGGACGAACGCACTCTTCCCAGTGAAGAGTCGCTAAGCTCCGGAGCCTCTGAGGTCATGTCAGGAGAAAGTCTGTTTACAGCACTTGTGAGGACAAGGATCCTCACGTGTGGTGAGGCATGAGAGGACAAGGATCTTGGACATGAGGACGGTGACCAACCACCTCGATCATCGGGGATCGAACGCCAATCCAGGAAGATGCCTGGCCGCTGCTATACCCATCATTCTAGATGGAGAGACTCTCTCTAACCCTTCCAAGACAAAGAAGGTCTCATTAGTTTTAGTCATATCATGAATAACTTTAATATATAACTCAACATTTATTTGATCTGAACCACCACAATGGTTTAGTGTCCAGGTCGCTGTGTCGTCAAGAAGCGGATGGAGGAGAGGGAGTCTCCAGCTGTTGGGAGGCGGTGGTTCAGAAGGTAACGTGTGATATCTCTGATGTTAGTGTCCATGTCTAAATTACTTACCATTTGCCAGTGTAGGATAGGAGTAGTTTTCTTAGATTAAGGACCTGCCCGAAACGCTGCGCGTACTAGTGGCTTTACAAGACTGTAATTACCATATTATGTATCCTCACATTCACAATGTACCTTCTTGTATATGCATAAATAAATAAATAAATAAATAAATAGTTTTAGGGATTTTTGGTGAATATCATAATTTCGATTAAATAAAATCTTGTTAATTTCTATTTTTACGATTCTCTGGTTCTCCCCAATTGTCATCTCCCGTGTATATCATCAAGGACGTTGAACCTTCTTGTTAGAACCTTCCAAAATTCTTCAGCATTAAATTGTTTAACTGTCAACAACTGTTTACATCAAAAGAATAAATCTCTCAGTAATAATTATCAATACTTTTGGTTAGAAGCTTGTACTAAGACATGACAGCAGACGCTGCTTGCACTTCTGTTCTTGTCGCTGTTTGCACGTCTGCTGTTGTCGCTGCTCCCACGTCTGCTGTTGTCGCTGCTCACACGTCTGCTGTCGTCGCTGCTCCCACGTCTGCTGTCGTCGCTGCTCACACGTCTGCTCTAGTCACTGCTCACACGTCTGCTGTCATCGCTGCTCACACGTCTGCTGTCATCGCTGCTCACACGTCTGCTATCATCGCTGCTCACACGTCTGCTGTCATCGCTGCTCGCCCGTCTGCTCTAGTCACTGCTCACATGTCTGCTGTCATCGCCGCTCGCCCGTCTGCTCTAGTCACTGCTCACACGTCTGCTGTCATCGCTGCTCACACGTCTGCTCTAGTCACTGCTCAAATGTCTGCTGTCATCGCTGCTCGCCCCTCTGCTCTAGTCATGCTCACGCGTCTGCTGTCATCGCTGCTCGCCCGTCTGCTCTAGTCACTGCTCACATGTCTGCTGTCATCGCTACTCGCCCGTCTGCTCTAGTCACTGCTCACACGTCTGCTGTCATCGCTGCTCACACGTCTGCTCTAGTCACTGCTCACACGTCTGCTGTCATCGCTGCTCGCCCGTCTGCTCTAGTCACTGCTCACATGTCTGCTGTCATCGCTGCTCGCCCGTCTGCTCTAGTCATGCTCACATGTCTGCTGTCATCGCTGCTCGCCCGTCTGCTCTAGTCACTGCTCACATGTCTGCTGTCATCGCTGCTCACCGTCTGCTTAGTCACTGCTCACAGTCTGCTGTCATCGCTGCTCGCGCGTCTGCTCTAGTCACTGCTCACACGTCTGCTGTCATCGCTGCTCGCCCGTCTGCTCTAGTCACTGCTCGCATGTCTGCTGTCATCGCTGCTCACCCGTCTGCTCTAGTCACTGCTCACACGTCTGCTGTCATCGCTGCTCACCCGTCTGCTCTAGTCACTGCTCACACGTCTGCTGTCATCGCTGCTCACACGTCTGCTCTAGTCACTGCTCACATGTCTGCTCTAGTCACTGCTCACACGTCTGCTGTCATCGCTGCTCACACGTCTGCTCTAGTCACTGCTCACACGTCTGCTCTAGTCACTGCTCACACGTCTGCTCTAGTCACTGCTCACACGTCTGCTCTAGTCACTGCTCACACGTCTGCTCTAGTCACTGCTCACACGTCTGCTCTAGTCACTGCTCACACGTCTGCTCTAGTCACTGCTCACACGTCTGCTCTAGTCACTGCTCACACGTCTGCTCTAGTCACTGCTCACACGTCTGCTCTAGTCACTGCTCACACGTCTGCTCTAGTCACTGCTCACACGTCTGCTCTAGTCACTGCTCACACGTCTGCTCTAGTCACTGCTCGCCCGTCTGCTCTAGTCACTGCTCACACGTCTGCTCTAGTCACTGCTCACACGTCTGCTCTAGTCACTGCTCACACGTCTGCTCTAGTCACTGCTCACACGTCTGCTCTAGTCACTGCTCACACGTCTGCTCTAGTCACTGCTCACACGTCTGCTCTAGTCACTGCTCGCCCGTCTGCTCTAGTCACTGCTCACACGTCTGCTGTCATCGCTGCTCGCCCGTCTGCTCTAGTCACTGCTCACACGTCTGCTCTAGTCACTGCTCACACGTCTGCTCTAGTCACTGCTCACAAGTCTGCTCTAGTCACTGCTCACACGTCTGCTCTAGTCACTGCTCACACGTCTGCTCTAGTCACTGCTCACACGTCTGCTCTAGTCACTGCTCGCCCGTCTGCTCTAGTCACTGCTCACAAGTCTGCTCTAGTCACTGCTCACACGTCTGCTCTAGTCACTGCTCACACGTCTGCTCTAGTCACTGCTCACACGTATGCTCTAGTCACTGCTCACACGTCTGCTCTAGTCACTGCTCACACGTCTGCTCTAGTCACTGCTCGCCCATCTGCTCTAGTCACTGCTCACACGTCTGCTCTAGTCACTGCTCACACGTCTGCTCTAGTCACTGCTCGCCCGTCTGCTCTAGTCACTGCTCACACGTCTGCTGTCATCGCTGCTCGCCCGTCTGCTCTAGTCACTGCTCACATGTCTGCTGTCATCGCTGCTCGCCCGTCTGCTCTAGTCACTGCTCACATGTCTGCTCTTGTCGCTGCTCGTAAAAAAAATAATAAAAAATAATATAGTTCTATGCTTTCACGGGCAGTAATTAGCTTGGTGATTGTGGCGGGGGGGGGGGGGGGTTGTGGAGGGGGAGGGGGGGAGGGTGGGAGGGTTGTGGAGGGGGAGAGGGGGGGAGGAGGGGGGGGGAAAGGAGAGAGAGCTATTGCTCTCTCTCTCACTCTCACTTCCGCTTTCCAATTATCTTATCTTATCTTGCCCTTTTTATTATAATTATTGCGTAGTTAGTTTCATTCACGTACTCTTTATCTCTCTCTCACACACACACGCCGAGGGCCTCGCGGCTGAGTGGGCAGCGCTCTGGGCTCGTAGTCCTAAGAGCCCCGGGTTCGGACGCCGGCAGAAGCGGAAACAAATGGGCAGAGTTTCTTTCACTCTAATGCCCCCTGTTCACCTAGCAGTAAATTAGGTACCTGGGAGTTAGTCAGCTGTCACGGGCTGCTTCCTGGGATGTGTGTGTAGTAGAGAGAAATATATGTAGTAGCCATAATAGAGGAGAAATAAATTGGTTAGAAGGGCGGGGGTCCAAGAGCTAGCAGCTCGATTCTGCAGAAAGAAATAGTAAACACACACACACACACACACACACACCACACACACACACAACACACACACACACACACACACACACACACACACACACACACATACACTAAATTTAATCACCATGAGACACGCGCTTAAGTATGCAGCGCCAGCATGGAACACCCTTAAAAAAAAAGGAGGAAATAATCAAAGTTATGCAGCAAGGCTGGTTCCTGAGCTGAGGGGACCGAACTATGAGGAAATCACAACACTGAAGTAGAATAAGAACAGCGGAACACGATACAAGGAGCTGAGGTTCACAGGAGAAGTATGGGGTGCACGATAAACTACCGCTCACAGGAGGAGTATGGGGTGCACAATAAACTACCGCTCACAGGAAGAGTATGGGGTGCACAATAATCTACCTCTCACAGGAAGAATGAAAAAAAAACGAGTCAGTACATTACACAATTCCCAAGAGCCTGTTCTTGTTCTCGAGTGGCCCGGGAGGCGAAGCTCGACCCAGCCAGGTAAGTCCATCTAGGTGAGTACACCCAGTCACACACACACACATGTTCGAATTTTATTTTCTCACATTAAACTCAGAGAAATTAAGGGTTACGAACCACGTGACTCCAACGCTCTCCCCCACATGTGCGTGGGCGGGGATTGTGTTGGGGGAGGGAGGTGTTGGGGGAGGGGATAGGGGAAGAAGGAGGAGGGGGGGAGATAATCCCCCCTACCCTCCCTCCCTCTCTCTCTCTCTCTCTCTCCTCCTACAGGTAGCAGCGGCTTTAAGAACTCTCTCTCACCCCTCCCCACCACGGGTAAATGGTCCTTCCTTTCCTCCTTACCTGTCTGGGGTAAGTGTCCTCTAGACTTGCCTTCATGCAGTGTTACCGCTCTTTCCTACACCCCTCCCCCATCACCCCCTCCCTCACTGCTCCTGTGGCAGGTGTTTCAGACTCTTGTGTCATGTATTGTTACCCCTCTACAGTGTTACCTCCTCCTCTACAGTGTTACCTCCTCCTCTCTACAGTGTTACCTCCTCCTCTACAGTGTTACCTCCTCCCCCTCTACAGTGTTACCTCCTCCCCCTCTCGGGTGTTACCACCTCCCCCTCTACAGTGTTACCTCCTCCTCTCTACAGTGTTACCTCCTCCCCCTCTACAGTGTTACCTCCTCCTCTACAGTGTTACCTCCTCCCCCTCTACAGTGTTACCTCCTCCTCCTCTACGGTGTTACCACCTCCCCCTCTACAGTGTTCCTACCTCCTCCCCCTCTACGGTGTTACCACCTCCCCCTCTACAGTGTTACCTCCTCCCCCTCTACGGTGTTACCACCTCCCCCTCTACAGTGTTACCTCCTCCCCCTCTACGGTGTTACCACCTCCCCCTCTACAGTGTTACCTCCCCCTCTACAGTGTTACCTCCTCCCCCTCTACAGTGTTACCTCCTCCCCCTCTACGGTGTTACCACCTCCCCCTCTACAGTGTTACCTCCTCCCCCTCTACGGTGTTACCACCTCCCCCTCTACAGTGTTACCTCCTCCCCCTCTACGGTGTTACCACCTCCCCCTCTACGGTGTTACCACCTCCCCCTCTACAGTGTTACCCTCCCCCTCTACAGTGTTACCTCCTCCCCCTCTACAGTGTTACCTCCTCCCCCTCTACAGTGTTACCCTCCTCCCCCTCTACGGTGTTACCTCCTCCCCCTCTACAGTGTTACCTCCTCCCCCTCTACAGTGTTACCACCTCCCCCTCTACAGTGTTACCTCCTCCCCCTCTACGGTGTTACCACCTCCCCCTCTACAGTGTTACCACCTCCCCCTCTACAGTGTTACCTCCTCCCCCTCTACGGTGTTACCTCCTCCCCCTCTACGGTGTTACCACCTCCCCCTCTACGGTGTTACCTCCTCCCCCTCTACAGTGTTACCTCCTCCCCCTCTACAGTGTTTACCTCCTCCCCCTCTACAGTGTTACCTCCTCCCCCTCTACGGTGTTACCTCCTCCCCCTCTACAGTGTTACCTCCTCCCCCTCTACAGTGTTACCTCCTCCCCCTCTACAGTGTTTACCTCCTCCCCCTCTACGGTGTTACCTCCTCCCCCTCTACAGTGTTACCTCCTCCCCCTCTACAGTGTTACCACCTCCCCCTCTACAGTGTTACCTCCTCCCCCTCTACGGTGTTACCACCTCCCCCTCTACGGTGTTACCACCTCCCCCTCTACAGTGTTACCACCTCCCCCTCTACAGTGTTACCTCCTCCCCCTCTACGGTGTTACCACCTCCCCCTCTACAGTGTTACCTCCCCCTCTACGGTGTTACCTCCTCCCCCTCTACGGTGTTACCACCTCCCCCTCTACGGTGTTACCTCCTCCCCCTCTACGGTGTTACCACCTCCCCCTCTACAGTGTTACCTCCCCCTCTACAGTGTTACCTCCTCCCCCTCTACAGTGTTACCTCCTCCCCCTCTACAGTGTTACCTCCTCCCCCTCTACAGTGTTACCTCCTCCTCTCTACAGTGTTACCTCCTCCTCTACAGTGTTACCTCCTCCCCCTCTACAGTGTTACCTCCTCCCCCTCTACAGTGTTACCTCCTCCCCCTCTACAGTGTTACCACCTCCCCCTCTACAGTGTTACCTCCTTCCCCTCTACAGTGTTACCACCTCCCCCTCTACAGTGTTACCTCCTCCCCCTCTACAGTGTTACCTCCTCCCCCTCTACAGTGTTACCTCCCCCTCTACGGTGTTACCTCCTCCCCCTCTACGGTGTTACCACCTCCCCCTCTACGGTGTTACCTCCTCCCCCTCTACAGTGTTACCACCTCCCCCTCTACAGTGTTACCTCCCCCTCTACAGTGTTACCTCCTCCCCCTCTACAGTGTTACCTCCTCCCCCTCTACAGTGTTACCTCCTCCCCCTCTACAGTGTTACCACCTCCCCCTCTACAGTGTTACCTCCCCCTCTACGGTGTTACCTCCTCCCCTCTACGGTGTTACCACCTCCCCCTCTACAGTGTTACCACCTCCCCCTCTACAGTGTTACCTCCCCCTCTACGGTGTTACCTCCTCCCCCTCTACGGTGTTACCACCTCCCCCTCTACAGTGTTACCTCCCCCTCTACGGTGTTACCTCCTCCCCCTCTACGGTGTTACCACCTCCCCCTCTACAGTGTTACCTCCCCTCTACGGTGTTACCTCCTCCCCCTCTACGGTGTTACCACCTCCCCCTCTACAGTGTTACCTCCTCCCCCTCTACGGTGTTACCACCTCCCCCTCTACAGTGTTACCTCCCCCTCTACGGTGTTACCTCCTCCCCCTCTACGGTGTTACCTCCTCCCCCTCTACGGTGTTACCACCTCCCCCTCTACAGTGTTACCACCTCCCCCTCTACAGTGTTACCTCCCCCTCTACAGTGTTACCTCCTCCTCTACGGTGTTACCATCTCCCCCTCTACAGTGTTACCACCTCCCCCTCTACAGTGTTACCTCCCCCTCTACAGTGTTACCTCCTCCTCTACGGTGTTACCACCTCCCCCTCTACAGTGTTACCACCTCCCCCTCTACAGTGTTACCTCCCCCTCTACAGTGTTACCTCCTCCTCTACGGTGTTACCACCTTCCCCTCTACAGTGTTACCTCCTCCTCCTCTACGGTGTTACCACCTCCCCCTCTACAGGCGAGTATAACCAACAGTTCTGTACACTAAGTCTTACTACCTTAGATCTTCATTCTCTCCTTCAAGCGTTATGTCTGTCACCTGAAATCTTGTCACCCCGTCTGTCACCTGAGGTGTCGTCATCTCGTCTGTCACCTGACCTACAGTAATTATAGCCAATTCTTATCTCTCTGCACACAGCTCTGCTTCTCTTCTCCAGGTGCCCTGCACGCATGCACGCACACGCACGCACACACACACACACACACACGCACGCACGCACGCACACTCCCACCAACACGCCTTCAGAGAGCCAAATCCAAGTTAACGAATATGTTGGCAACGAAGGAGAGAGTAGGAAAGGAAAGGGTCACCTTACCTTGCTAGGTTACCTTGAGATGATTTCGGGGCTTAGCGTCCCCGCGGCCCGGTCCTCGACCAGGCTTCCATCGGGTGACAGGTGACCCCTTGTCACTGACAGTAACCCCATCAGAGACTCTGTCACCCACGATGATGAAAAACTAAAGCAGTGAAAACGATCTGAAATAACTTCGGGGATGGTCGGATGGCTACAAGACTTCACTCGCGACAAATACAAGGGGAGGGGGATCGAGCAAGCACACCCACTGACTGTGTGGAATGAAAGGGAAACGACGCCATGAAAGCACATACAAGGTCACGCTCATAGATATAATCCCTCGCCCGGCACCAGAGGCACATACATTAAACACGACAACATCAACACCAGATATGAGCCATTGCTAAAACATAACATCATTTAGGAAACTCGAGAACGAGGCCATCAGAGCTTTGTATGCTGCCC